TGGTAGGCTGTTGAGACAGACATGCGGGTGAGTGCGGGGCTGAGTGGCAGCTTGGTGCTGTGGTGTTGTGGCGGCGGCGAGAGCAGCAATGGTGGTGGTGGTGGTGGTGGTGGTGGTGGAGGAGGAGGGAACAGCTGGCGCGGCAACCATCACTTCAAAAGAGCTCATTTAATACGTTTGGAGAAGAATTAGTAGAGCTCCCCCGCACTTCTCACTGAATGAAACAAGGCTGTAAAATCTCTGACACATTCGAGGACTCAAACACAAACACACACGCATACAAAGACCTAAACAAATAAACACATCCACACATTTCTCCCAGAAAAAAAGTTACCCGTGAACACAAACATGGCATACATGCATGCGCACACACAAACACGTACACACAGTCATACATATTTCCCCACACCCCTGCTGCGACACATAATTAATATGCAAAGACACATATCCTGTATCCACAACAACTGGTGGTAATATCAACAGTGTTTCTGTCAGCTTTTGGGTGGGTGGTGACCAGCTTTGCCCATCACTGGGGGAGTAAGTACAGCCGCCTGAGGGAGTATTCGTGTGTCTGTTGCTGTCCGTGTGTGTGTGTGTGCCTGAAAGAGAATGGGTGGGGGGTGCTAGTAGTAAGCTTATACAGAATACAGATAACACCCGGAGCTGTCGTGGGGGTGGTTCATGAAAGTGGTACAAAAACATATCTACATATTCCAATCATCCCCTGAGAGTCAGAGATGAAACCTCTCCTGCTGTGAGTGCTCAGTGTGTGTGTTTTACACACACATACTGCACTGCCTCTGAACTTCATTGGCTGCAAAATATATTTTTAGCCCACATGTGGGAGTAATGTGTTTGAATGAAACGAGTAAGTTGGGTAGTTTCAGTCCCACCGCAGTGCACATAGGTAATGACTAATTAGTGACAGCCATCAGAAAGCTATGAGTTTCTAACCTTTTTAAATTAGTTTATGAGGGAGTCACTGGCCGATTTCTCTCCATCTGTCTGATGCAGCTGAATGTTTGTTTGCGTGTCTGACTAGAATGACAGCTAAGTCTTAACAACGACTGATGCCAAGACCTGACAGATTTTTCTATGTTTACTCTTAATCTCTCTTATTTCTTTCTCTGTCCACACACCTACCTTATCTCTGTTTTTGTCCTTGTTGATCTTCTCTGTAGGTGAGTGGTGCTTCAGTTCAAAGGAATCACCAGTGATCTGACAGTGATGCTGTGTAGCAGCCTTCCCCTCTGTCTGCGGCCCCCGTTCTCCCGTGAGGCCCATGTGACCTAGCCTACACCCACACACAGGGGGCCCCCTCTGCCGCTGGAGCCCACCCATGAATCCCAGCCCCGACCGCGGCAAAGAGTGCCTCCCTCCCAAGAAGAGGGAGTCTCGGCAAGGATCGACAGAACACCACGTCCCTCTGGACGAGTTTAAACCCCCTGTGCCGCTCCGGAGTCGGTCCAGCACAGGGGGAGGAGAGGGAGGCAGGGAGGCCAGTGACAGGGATCGAGCTCTGATTAACCCAAACCCCCATCTCTTACATACTCCTCCACCTCTTCCTGCTCCAGCACCAGGCCTCCCCCTGCCCCTACCATGGCACCTGAGCTACTCTCCCTCTGTCTCTCTCCCCCATTTTTCAGGACATGTTGGCGAGAGGAGGGGCTCAGGGTCTCCCGCCTGGAGAGATGATCCTCTCCCCTCACCCCTGCCCCACCACTCCAGGTGGCTTAGAGGGGAAGGGCCCCTCTCCTTGCCCCCTTCCCCATCTTCCTCCTCCGCCTCCTCCTTTAAGACTCCCTTCCCAGCTGATTCTAGAGAGATATGGTCTTACATTAACAGCAGCCGGCGGGACAACAGCTCCTCTCTTTTCTCCCCTTCGTACTTGTTTAGTCACCACTCCCTCTACCCTCAAGAGCCAAGCTTAGTTGAAGCCAGACACAGGTACCTGGGCAAGAGGCCCAACGGCCTGGATGGGCCAGGCAGCAGGACTGCCTCAACCGCCAGGCCTCTGCTCACAGGAGAATATGGGAACGACAGCAGCAGAACCAGACTGGACGTCAGTCCACACAGCTCACATACCAATGGTGGACGGAGACAGCAGGAAGATCTAACATCCCGTGTCCATTCTGGTGGGCCATTTTTGTCAGACTCACAAGCTCAGGAGGGCTCTGAGCCACATTCCTCACTGCAGGAGAGACATCTGCATGGGATAGCTAAGACCAGCTCTAATTTACTCTCCACCAGTCCCCATCCCCTGGGACTAGTCCCCAGGGCAGGTAGAGGGGGGCTATTGGACACTCTTGGGGCCACACCAGCTGAAGCCCAGATATACTACTCCTTGGGATCAGTGTGTCACCCCAGCCCTCAGGCCCAAGCCTACCCACTCTACAACCCCTCAGGAACACCCCTGTACAACCTGCACAGGGAGCCAGGCCCCAGGCAGCACAATCTAAGGAACTCACCACACTCACCCCTGGGTCTGCCTAACAACCATGACAGGTCGCAAAGAGACCGGGACAGAGACAGGGACAGAGACCAAGAAAGAGACAGAGAAAAAGTCCTACAAAGGGACAGGGAGCGATGTAAAGACAAAGACAAAGAAAAGCACCTACAACATGACAAAGACCAAGAAAGAGAAAGTGAGCGCGAGAGACGAAGGGACAGAGAAAGAGACAGAGGGAGAGATTCATCTCCTTCTCATCTTCACACCTCACCCCCGGTCCTTCACCCATCTCCCCCTGCGCTCCTACCTCACTTCACCAAGGGTTCTCTGATTGAGTTGGCCAGCGGGAGGTTGAAGCGAGTGGAGGAGCTGCGGACCGAGGACTTTCTGAGGAGTGCAGATACCTCCCCAGAGTTCCACCTCAGCACCTGCACTGTGCTGTTGATTTCCCCCAGCAGTACACAGGGCTTCAGCCACCTGCAAGTCCACCTCACAGACCTCAACACTCAGGTCAGCCTTCTCTTTAAATATATGTTTCAACTTACACTTGAGAAACATATTTCTACATTACAGCATAATCAGAAATGATTTAATGAATGACTGCATGACATAATAAAAGTGGTATTGCAAATCCGTCATAGTTTAGGGCTTAAGTTGCCTTGATCTTCTCAGATGAAAACACCAAAGTCAGATTGTGGTGATAATAAGTGACAGAGAGACTTCTTGGTTGAGTGTGTAACAATGTTGTGTGATTTTGTGTAGGAGTTACTGAAGGTCTTGGTGGAGTATCCGTTCTTTGTGCAGGACCGAGGCTGGTCTTCTTGCTGTCCCCTGAGAACCTCCCAGCTGTATGGCCTGCCCTGCCGCCAGCTCATGGAGGGGGATGTCTGCCTGGCTCTTACCCCCACACCCACCCAAACCCACCGGACACACACGCGTACTGGCTCCAGGGCGCATCGCACGCAACTCCACTCCAGGGCCGCTGGAGAGTCCAGCAGCTCGCACAGGGAGGAGATGCCACCTCCACCTCCTCCCCCCCCTCTTCCTCAAAACCCACCTCCAACGGTGCCGGCCCCTCCACGCACTCTGGCCGCAGAGCCTCCTGTTCCGGAGCAGCCCCGTCAACGCAAACGCCGCTGGTCTGCCCCGGACACCCTTCCCTCAACCGGAACCGATGCTCCTGGCCTCCTGGATTTACCTCATGGCTCCAAGCTAATGAAGTGGCAGTAGAAACTTGGAAATGCATATGTATACATGCATACTTACACACACACACACACATAAGCACATACACACCCTCCTTGTCTCTGTTGCACCCACCAAGACAAACAATGGAGAGACCTCAAGGCAGGGTTGCAGGGAAGGAATAAAAAACAATAGAAAACACAATTTACGGGTGTCCACACTGCTGCCCAAAATATTAACCTTGTCCAACCTAGTCTAGCCCTTACTGCACCCATCCTTCCTTTTCCTTTCCCTTCCTTCCCTTTCCTTAACCTTACTTAGCACAACCCTGAAAGGAGCAGCAGCTGAAGGATCTTTGGATGGCTCCTTACAGACACACTGAAGACATTTAGTGAGACAATCAAGCACTTGTCTGTGTTCACTCTGTTTTTGTAATGGTTGTCCCACACACCTACTTACTGACAGTGTTTTCTGCAGGGTATCAATTTTCAATCAGTGTTATGAAAGTAAACGCTATTGAAGAAGTGCAGATATATATGAACAAAAGTTGAATATATATTACATTACAGATGTTATATACAGTAAATATGCTAAACAGATTTAATGCAATCTCTGTCAATTTTGCAATGCATTTTCTTTTTTTATTTTTATTTTCTTGCTTCTGAGCCGATGTCTACATGTCGGCCTGGGCAGGCAAGGTGAATGTATGAGCAACTCTTCGCCTTTTTTATTCTAATCACTGGGAGTCATTTCAAACAATTGTTCGTCAAGGCATTACCCTCCAATATGTTCTTAACATTATCTCTGAGAAAGGGAGAACACTAATGAAAACTGCGTAACAGACAATCCCACCCACACAGACAGGTCTGTGACACATCGCCTCGACACTCATGGTGTTTTTCCATTAAAAACTGAATGATGGAAAGAGTAAAAAGTGCAGTACGGCTGAAGAGTAATGGTGCTAATAACACGTTGGAACATGATGCTTTGTGAATACTCTTGACCCCTGTGTACTGTACGCTTCTGTTCCCATCTCATTTTTTACGTACTGTATATGTTTGAAGGCAGGGAAAATGATGAAAGTATTTTAAACTAAGATACGGGTATCTCCTCTGATTCAGCACACTCTCTCACTTTAGTTTTTGTGTTTGTTTTTTTTTATTTTCAAAAAGAAAACCTTACTTGTTGATTTTTCTTTTTAAATGTTATAGCTACAAAAATGTATATTTTTAAAAATTGTGAATCTGTTAAATGATGTTCGCTAGAAATAAAGGAAAAAAGCTTTATAGATTTAATTAAAGGTGTCAATTTATTCTCTGCATGTGTTGTAAAGTATTATACACTTAAATTATCATTTAATGCTGAATATAGGTTCACAGAAAAATTAGGCATTTATTTACATTAATAGAATGTTATCATTCTGTTCTACTGGGTTAATCAAGATGTTTTCTGTAATAACAACAACAACTGATAACGCTTGCCAGTCTAGCTGCATGGAGGACGGAAAATAAATCAATACAAGGCAAAAATAAAGAAAATTACTTTTGCTTTATGCATTGTGAATACATCAACAATGCAGCACTTCCATTGTTCTTTATCCTATATACATCTTCACAAAGAAATACTGTATTTTTTGCTCTGCTCTTAGGATATCTTTTATGGTAATGACAGGGAAGGAATAAAGCTTCAGTTAATCCACCTGTATATTGTTCATGGCTACCCTGGTGCAGGGTAGCTGTCTTTGTCTTCCTACATCTTCTCTCCTTCTGTGTTGGAGGTCAGAGTCAGCCACTCTCCTCAATCTCTCCCAAGTTGAACCTCTGCAGCAGTTCCACTGCAAACAAGGGCACCACCTGGCCAGCAGGACACAGTGTAGTACACATTCAGTATGCTTATGAGGACCTCTACTGGCGGTTGAAAATGCTACCGCTACACTCTGACTGACAGGGACCATTCACACAGGAATTATTAGGATGTGCCTGGATTGTTATGTATGAAATACTTGATATACTGTTCAACATGTCATAAAACTCACATACAACTTTGTAAGACTAAGCTTACAATGTTTGGCATTTGAGATAGGAGATTGTTGATAAAAACCTACAGTAAATGAGATTGACACACTTCACTCTAAGAGTGTAACTCTGCTTTCCCCCTCGTCATAGTAAAATTTAAACAAAATATGCTAATTTAATTGACAAATCCTTACCTCATGAAGAGTAATTTTGGAATGATGTCAGAATGTTGTAATTTTCCAATAATATTAAAGAAAAATGTGCATCCAAAAATGTTCTTATTTTTGCAAGGTAAAAATCTTAATGTAAAAATGAAGCCTTTTATAAAATGAATCCCTAATTTACAGGTCAAATGTAAAATCAATAATTGAGATATGATACCTTATGTACAACCAAAATCTACACGTATGCTTTCAGGGCAAATGTGCTAGAGAAGATGATGAAAAAAAAGACAACAATTCTTAGTTATTTTTCTACCCACCTCCGCCATGATCAGCTTCCTAGTTTTAGATACGTTGGGATCTGGATACTCCTCTCCAAAGCAGAGCTCAATCTCATAAGAAGGTAAAGGGCCCTTCCCCTGTAAACAGCTCTGGAGCTCTGTACACAAACATTTTATATTGGAAAAGTCAGATTTGATCAAATAATCTGTCTCTGTCTCTAAATATGTATTATATATATTCTGTTCCAGATAGGTTTATATGACTGGTAGCTAAATAACTGTTTTCGCATTTTTTGTTCTGTTTAAGTATGCATGCACTGCCTTACCGTTAAGAAATGTGGGTATATCAAGCAGTTTGAAGGTCTTTTCTCGCTCCAGTTTGTTGGGCTGGTCAGTGTGTTGGGCCATGGGACCACTCCAGTACACCCTGCCCTGGCAGAACCGCTTGATAAACACCCCATCTGGGGCCACCCATAATAGAACACCCCTCTCCAGATGACAAAGAAGGCGGTTCATTGCTTCAGCCAAGCATGTCGGCAGGGATACGGAGCCTGGTGAAGGGAAGGAGAGCTGCTGGGCAGTACAGGGCCCGTAGATTCGTTCATTTCCCAAGGGGACATTTCCCTGCATGATGAAGCACCCATCTGGGCTCCTGGTGGTCAATTTCATCACCCTCTGGCCATGGTACAACAATGTCACCTGCATACGAAAGTCTATACACACAAAATGCAACTTGTGTTCCAGGTCATACAGTTAAAAAGGTCAGTGGCAGTTGTTTTTATTCTGTGTATATGTCAATAAGCTTTCTTACCTGATATTGTAATTGCAGGGCTGATGAAGGCTACAGGAGGTTTTTGTCTTGCGAGCTCACAATACATGTGCTCCCTCATCAGGTTCTCTAAAGAAGAATAGAGAAATACAATCAGTACTTTCTCAATACTATATGAATACTCTGACCCTATTACCCACCAAGTGGTAGGTGAGAACTTTTTCTCTGGACCACCCAAGACAACTTTTTCAGTAGTGGTCAGTGATGCCTTCTCTTCTGTGGCAATTCGCAACTGTGGTGGTGTTCCCCAAGGCTCCACCCTTGGCCCTCTGTTATTCTTTGTATACATGCTGCTACATATCATGCATAAATGCAAAATTCTGTTCAATTGTAATGCAAATTAAATGCAAATTTCCATCCCACTAAATACGAGTGAAAAAGGCAATTTTTCATCAGACATGGCATCAGCCATTGTCCTGTCTGTCCGAATGTTAGCTAAATGAAAATAAATCTCAAATCATTTTAATTTCATTCATTTTTTCATGGCTATTTTGCAAAAACATCTTGGCTCACTATCTACAAATGGCAAACCTGCAGCCAGAAACTTGGGAATAACATTTCATTTGAAAATGAAAAAAAAGTGTAACCTTGTTTTTATCAATTAAGGGAGCATCTAAAAAAGTCTTTTTTTTTCTTTCCGACTGATCTTGAGAAAATCATTCATGCTTTTATTTCTTGCCAGCTAGGTTACTGTAACTCCTTGCATTCAGGGTCGAGCCACAAAACAAAATCTCACCCCTTCAGCAGATACAAGGCGCAGCTACTCAGCTGCTCAGACAAAATCATAATCACTCCTATTTTAGCCTCTCTTATTAAATTGATTGCCTTTAAAAAACTTCATGGTTTAGCTCCCAGTTCTGTTGCTGAACTTCTGCTCCTATGAGCCAGAGTGCAGACTCAGATCCTCAAGCAAGCTCTGCTGGCTCAAGACTAAAAAGTAAAGGTGACGGGGCTTTTAGCTCTTGAACTCCCTGACAGAGGATCTGAGGCCTGCAGAATATCTTCTATATTCTAGACTTTTATTAATACTACCACCACTATATCAATCATGTCTTACCTGTTTTAGTATTATATATTATTATGTGATATATTGTTGCTGTTATTATCTTTACTGTTTTTTTGATTTTATTTGCCTAGGTACTGAAATGTTTAACCCTGTTTTAGCCATGTAAAGCACTTTGTTTTGAAAAGTGCTGTGTAAATAAAGTTTATTATTATTATTATCTATGGCCATGTTCCTCTATAGTTCTATGGAAAAGTGCTAGTTTCAGTGCGCTCTTACCAGTCAATGGTTTTCCTTCTTCTTTGTTTGCTTGAAATGATTCCTTTTGATAAGGAAGCTACAAAAACAAAAAGCAAAATTAGGTACACATAGCATGGGAAGATTTTTTAAGGAACAGATATTTTTTTATAATATTAAATAAGTTTAAGCTGACTTTCCCACACACTCCAAAACCTGTGTCCTGCTGCGAGAACACATTGTTCTTCACCACAGTGTAAAGTCATCTTCAAATGTGGACAGCTCAAAACTAATACAAAGTCCCTCAAACCAATTAAACAAACAATACAGCAGGGGGGCCATTTCGATGAAAATGTTTAACTTTAGTGACTCATAGTCTTGCTGTTGTATCAAAAAATACATAAGATGAACAAATTTTGTCTGGAGAGAGTAACAATGGTCCCTTAACCTTTTTACTGGGATTGTCTCATTTTTATAAACATAACTTATACCATCAAAATATGTACATATATTGTCCTATTAAATCAAACCTATTAAATTAAAAAAAGGAAATTAAAAAGCAGAAATAATTAGCCCTATTTATAAGAAAGTGACTGTACTCATACAGTGTTCTTATACATGAATTGACTGAAATCACCTATCGTGGATAACTGTGTCCACCATAAGAGCAGTATATAATCCAGTATTCAGCAAGTTCAGTGTTATATTTTCTCAGTGTATAGCTCATTGGCTCTATTTTTTTAGCTTACCTGTTTGTCCGGAAAACCAGGGCTCCTTGGAGACCTCTTAGCCTGGATGATCACTTGATCCTTTATCTGGGGAGGCTCTGAAGAGAGCAATAAGTGGGAACAAAAATGAGAGCAAACAAAAAACTCAAAAATTCTCTATTGGTGAAAAACTGATGGAAGAACGATGAAACGGTCAAAATACTTAAAACCTTCGCTCATTACATAAATACAGCATTTTATTCCTCGTTTAGTTTGCTCTGTTTGGCCTTTTTGTTACTTATTTTGGTTTAATTGTACGTATTGAGACACCACTCCCCAACAGCTCAGATATGATTAATAAGACAATATGAATGGAAAGGAGCAGTATTCAAGGTTTTTACCTTGTGGCTTGGCTGGCACATTGTCGTGATGGATAAAGTAGACTTTATAGGGTTCAGTGATGTCCAGCTGGTTGCGTTCAGGCACCTCTTGGAAGTCTGTGCTCTTGTTGAGTGCACAGCGAAGACGGGTCTTCCACATGGTGGGGTCAGCTTTATCCCTCCCTTCCCTGTACTTCCCCTTGTACACAGCCCAGGCCTGAATGTGAACATTTAAATATTAGATGTGTCTGTATGAATAACTATTTTGAAAAAAAAATCTGTTTGGGGAAGTAAGGAACTTATAGAAGACAAAAACAGCTGTGCTTGCAATTATTTTTTAAACACTGTTATCTTGAAATCACAAGTTAATTTATATTGTGATCTCAAGGAAACAAGTCATACTTCTTGAGATACCAAGATCATTTATCACGAGAAAACAACTTTCGCCTTTAATTGTGGCGAACTCGAAAATTAGTGCCTTGTTCATTTGTTCATCAAAAATGGTTACCTGAATGATCTGAGAGTTAAATTAAGTGATTCATTTCCTGGCAATGTGATGCAATACTGACAAATCCTGGCTGTTGCATGTGGCATTTTGGTCAGTATGAAAAAGAACAAGAACGTTGCCAAGTGCTTGCTCATGGTGGGAACTGTTGGGTCTCTGTAAATAATGTTATGTTGTTAAGGTGTACGGTCTAGACCTGCTCTATTTGAAAAGTGTCCTGAGATGAATTGGCGGTATACAAATAAAACTGAATTGAATTCCATATTAACTGGTATGTTACATGTCATTCCTCCATGTATTGTTGAACCAATGCTACACCTATAATATGCCATCTATGCGTGCTGGCATAATCTCTGATAAACATTACAAGTAATAAGAGGAAACCCTTTGTTTTCTTGAAATAACGGGTTGATTATCAATTCATATATTTCAAGTACACTATATTTTGTTGCAAATAATTCATGAGCAGGGTAATTTTCTTTATAAGAAATTTATCCCGGGAATATATGTTGTTTTGTTGTTAATTATCTTTAACTATATCCATCCAGAACATTGTGAAATCAGCAACTGAATGTACACTGTAAGAAAATTATTAGTTATTTAATTCTAACAATAAGTCACAGATCAACATTAAAATGGTGAGTTTACTGAACTGTTAATGTGTTCAGATTGTTGATTACATGAACAGAAGTCTCATTCACTTCAGTGAAGTTGAGAAGGTTAGGTGTGTCACATTTAGGAGGATCTATTGGCAATGGAAATGGAATCTATTGTTCAAAGGTATGTTGCCATTCGCATATAGTCACCTGAAAATGTTGGCTGCCATGTTTCTAATGTAACCCAGAACAGACAAAACAAACCCTGTCTCTACATAGGAACATTTGTGTTTTGCGCACATTTCACAGCCCCCGCAGTTTCTACCATATGCTTGGTAAGGCTTTGCGAAGCAAGTAAGTTGCAATCTGCAACTACACCACTAGATGCCACTACATCCTTCACACTGGACCTTTAAGCTATTAAGTTCTGTTAGCTGTTGGTCAGTTTTTGGGTTAGAGTGGCATTCTGGTTTATTACTTCAGTAGTGAAGGATTTTTAAGTTTTGTTCCATGTTCAGCCTACAGCTTTTGCTGTGATCTTAAAAGCCAAATTCCTATCAGTATTAGTGCTGAGCCCTGGTTTTGTCATAGCCATACAAAGCATGGGTATTGTGATTGTGATGACTTGAAATTCTGAGATTTACTGAAATTAACTAACTTGTTATTTACATTTACTTAATGATTAAATAATAATCAGTTAAATTAATTTAGTTAAATGAAATCATTACGTAGACTTTGACATTTTTACTACTAAATACCTTTAAGTGAATGAAACCAGCAGTACTCAGAAAGGCAGAATTTGGCTTAATTCATTAATTTATATATTCATATGTTCAAATAACAATAATAAATACAAAATCAATATTTTTTGATGCAGGCAAATCTATGTTGCTAAGATAATGAATTAAAGGACATAAATACACTTTTGTCTCTTGGCTGTTTGAGACCACTGACAACTTTGCCATATGATTATGTTTTTTGTTAGCACTGTAGTAGTAGCCTTCAAGACAGCCCTAGAAAATATTTGAATTAGGCAATTAACACCAAACAGGTTGGACTATACTAGGCTGATATTTTACTTAGGCTATTAGCCTGGTAATTAATAATATTAATTACATATGTTTCCGATGTTAGTAGCTCAACTTGTAGGCTACAATATGCATTGGTTTTATTTAATTATCAGTCAATTTATAAACCTGTTATATGCCTTAAATAAAAAATCTATATACACACATTAAGACAAAAAGGAGTTACATTCGGTTAAATTCAATCGACTCGGACACCTGGATCAATTTCTAGATCAAAACTTGCTAGAATTATATCTGACCAAACCTGGCAACTGAATTCACAAGAATCTTCTTTATATGTTTTAGATTATGAAACAGTCTGAAATTGTTGACCTTGAAGAGAGCTGCATCCGCCGTCTGTTTGTAGTCCTTCTTGGCTGCGTGTTTCCACGGGATCCTGAACATAGTCTTGTCCTCATCTTCCCAGCACAGTCCTTCATATTTCCCACTCTCTATCTGGGCTATCAGCCACTCTTTCATGTGCATTTTAGCTCCTGGTTCCATCTTCAACACAGACTGTCTCTTACAGGAAGAATAAAATCACTTTCAAATGTCACAGATACATGTGCACAATAGCTCGAGCACTTTAATCACGTCCGCACCTTGCAAACGGAAAAAAATGGCAATATTTTATTCTGCTGCTCCTCACGCCTCTAAAACGATTTTAATCCCAAACCTGTAAGAAAATAATATAATCAAGTTTATAAAAGTTCTAGACAAACAGACCTCGCCGCAAACTTAAATGCAGAAGTCCGACCTAAAATTGTGCGCTCATAGGAGCGAAAGCGAAAGTTTAGTTCATTTGATACTTTCGGTTTCCCCCTGCTTGCTGAGTTGCAGCGAAAGTTTAATCATTTCCAAGTAAGGTGTAAGAAGGAGGGTGATAAATGAGTGGGTCTTTGAACTGTAAACCAGTGAGAGAATGTCTGTGTGTGAAAAGAAACCACAATTAAATGCAAATTCCCTGTTTTTCTATTCTATTAGAGTTTATTTAACGTTGCCAGAAGGCAAAACAAACTTTAATCTTTATTATATGACACTGATCACAAAACTCAGTCACCTAAATAGTCCTCATAATGTTGAAGAAAACACAATCGATGGAAGTAGACAAAGGGAACGACTGTGTAAGGACAGGTAAGTTGTATATTCCAAACACCTGAAACTAGGCTACTAAATAACTAATTAAATTTAAATAAGAGTTTTGTTTTCTTAATTGGAAAATTCTCCTTTCCTTTGCCCCCTCAGGAATCAGCATGTGGGAAACAGGGCAGCATTAGGCCTACGCATTAATCACATAAACCAAAGTAAAGCACAAAAGCCCACACATAGACACACACACAGACACGCACACACACACACACACACACAGATACAGACACGAATCATAACGAAACATTCATGCGAAAATGAAAGTATGTGGGTGTAAGGAATTTTTTTTTCTCATTGACTCCTCCCCTTGTCCTTGCTCTTAAGTTTGCTGACTGAAGGTGACAGTATTTCTTAAGTTCAAGTAATGATACTGAACCTGTGAACAATTAAAAACTCAGTTCAGCTCGACAGACAGACAGAAGACAGATGGACCAAGGGCTCACAGCAAAACACAGGGATCTGTGTAAACACGCTGCGCACTGTAGTTCCCCCCAGCAGAGGGCGGTATCGAACTGTGTTCCTGCCTCTTCCCACACAACGTTATCTGTTTATTTGATAGACCAGGCAACTGTGTGCTAGAGACAGAACATGCTGTATGGAGGAGGATGCAAACACATCTTCCTAGTTATTAATACCCGAGGCTCATTTGTATCCAGTGCCATTAGTCAGAGGACCTGCTCCATCAGAGAACAGCTGGTTTGTCAGTCACTCCTGCTGTTCACTGGTAGTGCTGGTCTTGGTGAGAGTTGCTTTATTTGTTCAGGTACTGGAGAACCATATGCCAAAAGACTGTCTTATAACAGCTTGCAGGTGGTTGGTGTTATTGGCACCAAATGACCAGGACAGAAGCCAGAACAGCAGACTTGTGATACATATTTTGAGAACTCTTAATTGTTGACATGCAGTCAGACAGGTGTTGATTATGTCAATTTAAAAGGTTGTATGTAGTTTATTTCAGTATGCTGTAGTTGTGCTCCTTTGCATGAGTAAATCAGATAGATTAGGGGAAAAAATATTAGGAAAATCATTAAATATATCAAGTCTAATACAACACCACCAGCACTAATTAAACATAGATTATAATCAACAGCTGTCTTATGCAGTGTCAAGAACTAAATAGATAATTAGTACAGTATTAGATTGTTCTGAGCCCCTGTTTTCTTAAAATATTCGAAATCAGTTCTTCTACATTAAAATGACTGTAAAAGGTTTTATATAGGCAGAAATACCGCCCACACAAGCTGCCAGTATTTTCCCACAATCCACACTATGTGCAGTTTGCAGTTCTTACAGTGTCATGTAGTGTGCATTCATATAGCAACTTTCATTATGCGTAAACTCATTGTGCTTTACATTAAAAGACACCCAACCAGTGAAAGAAAGAAGACCACACCTACCGCACAGATGTAAACCACAGACACATGCACACACCCATGAGATCAATCATAAGCCTGATAAAACAGAAAGGTTTTCAATTTGCTTTTGAACGTGGAAACACTTCTCAGACAGATCTCGGGTCAGCAGGAGAAGATGAATACAATCGAAGCAAATATTTGTGCAGGAACGTGTAAGAAAGTGCAACACCAGCATGTGTCCTCCATCAACTTGGCAATTTGATTCCATTTTCCATCCAGATTAAACAGCACACATCAAGGTGGTTTTTGTTGCTTTTCTCCCAGTTTATTGTTGTACCAGTTCAGCAGTAAAACATGGTTGAGACATCGGAGCACACTGTAGAACATCTTAGCCAGCTTTCAATAAATAGACCTTTTAAATATGAGAGATTGTATTACAGCAGAGGAATGTAAACCTGAAAATGTCTTACACAGAGAACAAAATGCTCTGTACAAAGCTCCCTCTCTCCCCCTCTCTCTGACAGTTCAGCTGATTGTTGCTATAAAAATGTGCGTCAGGTAGCTCCGACTGATGAAATATGTAGACATTTCCACAGGTCCAAGTTGCCTCCCACCATCAGTGTGTAGCGTACATATACACATAAGGCAGAGAGAGAGATGCATCGCGTTTGAACTCATGTCAAAGTAGTTTTCTGTCAACTTTGTTTTCATTTCCTCAGAGTGTGTACTATCATGTGAGAGAAAACAGGCAGCATTACATACAGGAGAAAACACAAACCCAAGTGACATTCCAGGAAATAAATACACTTCTTGCTTTGTTTGAAAAAATTATTTACACAGTATTGTACATGGAAGAAATTCAGAACATCCATCTGGGTCTCTCAGTCATAAAAATATATAATATAATAAAATCTACAGTAAGAGAATTAACTACAATAACAATTATTGAAATAAACAAAAGATTGTTGACTGTGAATGAATATACAGTACAATCACTGCTTTTAATGTCTTGTATACACAGTAGAAAGCACAAACGTGAGTGTGTGTGTGCGTGTTTGTTTGTTTGCTTGTGCGCGCTTGTGGCGAGGAGTCTAAGCGATTTAAATTCCTGCTCAGCCACTCAACATCGCATTTACTTCAGGACAACCTTGAAAACGTAACGAGAATCTCTGCCACACTCTGCACTTGAACTCTCGCTTGAATGTTCATAACATATTTGTGTGTGTGTACTATAGTTTGTAATCCATTCTCAACGTTTCAAATGGTCACTGACAGCAAGGAGAAGCCCTGTCTACTCTTGCGTGTGTGTGCATATGTGTGTGTCTCCTTGTGAAGATGCTGACACTCTAGTGGCAGCCACAGGCTCTGACCACCATGTTGCGGTATTTCTTGAGGATGACGTTGGAGCTGTCATCAAAGTAGAGCACTGAGATGGCGTGAAGCTGTGTGGGGGCACAACAAGGCTTAGGAACTGTCTCCGGGTTAATAAAATGAACCTAGGGAGAGCAGGGATAATTCAAAGGTTTAATTAATCATTACACAATGAATGGATATTGTCAAATGGTTATAAAGGATGCATCACACAGTGTGAACACTGACTTTAAGTACTGTTAGAAAAAGTTTTTCCCACGTCTTGGCCTTATCCTGTGTCACAGTTTACTCTAAAATACAATCTGCAACCATTTTGGATCATTAAATAAAGTAGTTCAAACAGCGGCTACATTGTCTTGACAGCTGAGGAGATGATTAGACTCTTAACATGACTGCTGGGTTTTTGTTCCCTGCTTTCATGGTTACTCACAAGGGTTTGCACAATGGCATGGTTTGTGGCGTTCATGTAGGAGTTCAGTGGGAAGGCACACTCTCCCTCACAATAGTATGCTGCATATCCTTCTGGAGCGATGATCCAGTCCTGAGAGTGGGGAGGGAGAGGAAGAGAAATTTAGGTTGGAGAATTATATAGCGTGCAGAAAACTGAAATGCAGGGAGAAAGAGATAAAGAGAGTTGAAGGTTTAAGGAGCAGAGAGGCCACATGACCACAGTAGAGAGTGGAGTCAGACTGAGTAAGCCTTAGTATCGACACAGACAAGGTGTGTTTGTGCAGAATTTGAGATGGATCTGTTCCACTTATAGCTGGATATAGGATTTTCCAGTACAGACTTGGGCTTGGACATCGCAAAATAATGATACGCTCAAGTGTAAGTTACACTGAATCTTAAACGTGTGTTCAGATCTGACTACAATATGATTCAGTTAAGGAGTATGCTTTTTTGCTGCAAATTGTGGCAATTGGATGCTGAGGGTTTTTATAGTACCTGAACAGTCTCTATGAGTTGTGTGTCACAACCACTGCCGCTACTGTTGATTGTGTTGGTGTGAGGGCCACATCTGCAGTTCAAACTGTAACAACTTCCTGTTTAAGTCCGTACGTTTCACC